TTAATATATATCCAAGTCATTGTTTTGTGTGAATTAATATATTGGACAATACTCATGAGCATCACACCATTAAAATTAGTCTAACATTTAGTACCTCTTTTTATAGGACATGGAGGTGAACAATACTGCAGTAAATGTCTCCATGAATAATGACCCCAATAACAACAATGCCAGCACCACCGACTCAGCCACAATAGGAAGTTTTGGACTTCCACGGTCCACTCTCATTAACCAGGATGTTAGTCTCCACCAGGCTTCACTTCCCAGCTGCAGCCAGGACTTTCCCCCATTGTTCAACCCTGAGTTGGATTCCATTGGGGTACAGCGGCCTGCCTTAGTCAGGCTCTCTTCTAGCAACTCCTCAAACATCAATTCAACATTTGGAGCTACTAACTTGACCGGTCTCTTTCTCCCACCACCTCTAAACAGTACAACTAATCTAACCACCACTCCGGTGCTGCCAGATCCATTTTCCAGCCTGCTGGAAGAGTCTATGCTGGATGAAATTAGCCTGCTAGACCTTGCAATGGAAGAGGGTTTCAGCCAAGACCAGGCTTCTCAGCTCGAGGATGAGCTCGATTCAGACTCAGGTCTTTCACTGGACTCCAGCCGTAGCCCAGCCTCTCCTAGCAACTCGGAGACATCCTGCTCGTCAGCCGCATCGTCTTCATCCACCTCGGCTACATTCTCAGAGGAAGGAGCTGTTGGATACAGCACCGATTCAGAGGCGGCCACAGCAGAAGCAGAGGAAGGAGCCGTCGGGGGCTACCAACCGGAGTATAGCAAGCTGTGCCGCATGGGCTACCAAGATCCCTCTCAGTTCCATGGCATACCACAGTTGGAAAGTGTCAATCACAACCACACCTACAATCTACCACTGGCATCATCCTACTCTGTGTGCTCTCAACTGTCCACATCCTGCAGCAAGAAAGGCAGAGACAAGCAAATGCAGCAGACAAAGCTCCAGCCACCACAAGACTGTGTTGACAGGCAGTCTAGCCGTGATGATCGTAGGGCGAGGGCCATGGACATCCCATTCTCCAATGACAAGATCATTAACCTCCCTGTCGAGGAGTTCAATGAGCTTCTGGCCAAGCACCATCTCAATGAGGACCAGCTTTCGCTCATTCGCGACATCCGCCGACGTGGAAAGAACAAAATGGCGGCACAAAACTGCCGTAAACGCAAATTAGACACCATCCTCAAACTCGAGGAGGGCGTGCAAGACCTGCAACGCGAAAAGGCTCAGCTGCTGAAGGAGAAGATGGAATACTGTAAGTGCATTAGACAGACGAAGCAGAAAGTTCAGAGCCTTTCCCAGGAATTGTTCGCACAGCTGCGGGACGAGGAAGGTAGACCCTACTCGGCCAGCGAGTACTTTCTGCAGTACGGCCCTGATGGCGTTCTCCTCATGCCTCTTAACATGACCACAGAACAAAGCAACAAGCCTGACAAGAAGCAGAAGGACAAAAAGAAGTGAGGAACTCGAACTGTTGCCCTTTTATTTTTCGCAAAGGCACTACCATACAAAGTATTTCGAAAGGCAAAGGAAGCCTTTTTCTTTGAAACGATTCTAGCGAGGAGAAGAAAATTGCATCATTGATTACTCCTCCTGCATTGGGTTTTCTTTGTTCCTTTTTGGTTCAGAAGTTTTCTCCTGAAAGCGGCATTAAAGCAGACGTGCTGTGTGTAGTACTGATTTCTCATTGATGTACAGAAAGATGCGAGCGAACATGATACTTTCAGATGCCAACTGAAAGAACTGTCAAGAACGTGAGGTCATGAAGGACACCAACAAGATGTTCTTAATTAAAAGAACTGTTCAGGAATGCTCCCAAAAATGTAGTCGATGACAATAATACACCATACTAAGATGACGTTGGCCATGAGGATGCAAAAATGTAAATTTTCAGCATTAGCCCATGCTGTGTGTTTGTGCGTACCCTGGGATTTTATTGGTGGGCGAGGAAGATCCAGCTGAGAGCTGGTAAAAAAAAAGAGTACTGAACGCTAGAAGTGAAGCCAAAAGAAACCATAGGCATGCCAATACTAACCAAAGGTTGTGTTGTGCCGTTGTGTTGTTCCCATAACGAATCATACAGGTCACTCCGTGGATCCAAATTCACATTTTCACTTAAAAAAGAACAAAATAAGTTTGTTAGTCTTATTGGACAGCAAACTCGCCTGAAATTTCTCTGTAGAGTCAATGCCATTTGCCAAGGAACTTGGGACGGTGAAACAAATAGCGCTAAAGAGTTGGTTTGAATTTAGCTTTGGCTTGATGAGAAGCATTGGCGGTACAGATGGAGGATGGAAACGCACTGCATTATTACTAATAAATCAGCTTCTGTACCCTTTTCAGCACTGTCAATCAACACTGTAGTTTGCTTACAAGCTTTTTTCCTTTACTGCTGGGGAAAGGGTCTCTCAGGCCTTCCTGACAGCTTTTAATGTAACTCTTTTCCATGTGCATAAACTTTAATAAGCCATCAGACATGGACACCTGAGTGGCATCAGTGCAATTTGTTCCTGAATCATGTGATTGAGTCCGGTGTGTCTTGGAATGCAGGATTAATTGAAACGAACAGAGTCATTTGCTTTTAAAGTTCATAATGTGTAGCCTTTGTTGCAGGTCAAAATGCTCTGTTGCTACTGCAACTTAGTGGCTTTTGTCTGTTGCAGTGGAGGAACGTTAAGAGATGCTTTTGTTACAGTTTTACTGTCATTTGAAAAAGGAATAAAAATCTCACCAAAATATACAAATAGTAGCAGGCATAGGTCATTATTACATTTAAACTACAACTTCTCATTAGCTGGGTCAGTGTCTTAGCTTTGATGTGATGTGAACCTGACTTTTTTTCTTTTACCCAATACACTACTTTTAGTAAAAGTACGTTTATTGCTAATTGAGTGAAGCCATGAATGGTCTCCTGGCAAATTAAAGCAGTTAAGCTTGTGCCAATAACCAACTGGATCGTGCTTTACTGCAGCCTGAGGATACAGCTGACCTTATACACTGACATATCATTGAATGGGTAGAAAAAAAAAACGTAATACTGGTGTGAATGTCTAATTTACATGTTGTTCATCTTCATCCTCTTCTGTCAGTCTCTGTTGTTTCCATCTACACTGTTCATATAGCACCATGAGTCACAGTCAGTGTCTGCTTTGGTGTGACATGAATAAATATGCAAGACCTGGTCATTTTTTTTTGTCTCAGAAATGGAAAAGAGACCATCTTTATGTTACTGGTTACAAATACTTAGCGTAGTTGGGGTAGAGATAATGAAAAAAGATGAGCGATTTATTCACTTAGATGAACCTTGAATCCCTGTTACAATGTCATAACTACTTGCCATTAAGCACTGCTGTTTTTGTTCATCTTGTTCGGTTTGTAAATATTTTTGTGTTCTGTATGTCTCTTGTCCTAATTGCTTGGTTCAGCCAGGCCTTTTTGCACCTTCTTTGAATTTGCCTGTTCAGAGTATTCCTATATGACTTATGTTGAGAGATTTGCTGGCAATCTGGAATTGTTCTTTTATTAATTATAATAAACATTTGTTTCATTTCCTTGGTTTTCCTTTTTTAAAAGAAAAAAAGTGAGAAGATTTGTGATTATAAACAAATCATAGGATTTGATAATACTGCAAAAACTCCTGATATCTATATAAATATGAATTATTTTTTCTTTGTTGCTGTTGAAGCTCAATTTTTGCTTATATCAGCTTCAGTGTGCTGCTCACTTCTCAGTGCTTGGTAAAATGGTACTCTTTGTGGGGTAACACTTTATTAAGTTCAGCTTAATTTATGATTTGTTTTAAATGAACGTTGCCATTTTTACAGCATTAGTAAGAATTTTTAATGTTTTTTAAAGATGTCTCTTATGCTCACATAACATTTATTTAATCAAAAACAGTCAAAACAATAACAATGTGAAATATTACAATTTAAATTAACTTTTTTTATTGTAATATATTTTAAAATATAATCTATTTCTGTCATAAGTTCATTGATGCTTTTTCTAACACATGATCCTTTAGAAGTGCTCTGGGAGTGCTCAAAAAACATTTCTTATGATCAGTGTTGAAAATGGTTGTGCTGTGTAATATTTTGTAAGAGAACAGAATGAATACAAAGTTCAACAGCATTTATTTGAAACACATACTTTGTAACATTCTAAATGTCTTTACTGTCACTTTTGATCCGTTTAATTCATCCTTGCTCAATAAAAGTATTAATTTCTTAAATACATACATACAATCTTGTTCACCCAATTCAAATAGTAGTGTAAATGTTTTAATACAGGCTTTTCAAAACTGGGGTTTGCGCACCCCTGGAGTTTTTTGAGGGAACTGCAGGGGGGTTATGAGTTGATGAAATGCTAATGATCAAATAATAAAAATGCAAAATTTAATCATTTTTAAAAACAGAATAAACACTAACCTGCACGTAATGTGACCATAAACCGATATCAGGGAGAAATGATCATGCTTAGTTTTGAAAATCTTTAAATTATTAAAATATGAACTTCAAATTTCAGGTGGTACTTCACAAAAATATTTAATGTCAAAGGGGTTCAGCTGGGGGCGGGGGGGAATCCCAGTATATGTAAATAATATAATTCACCAAGATTAAAAGTATTGACCATTGACCTCATTCAGAGTATAAGCATAAATAAGTATGACCAGTTTTGACAGAAATACAACAAAGATTTTTATTTTTGAAAATGGTATTTCATTGGCAAATGCTCTGATAATGTGCAATAATAATATGGTTAAACAAAACTAGCATACAATCGTAAAAGCTTAGAACATAAAAAAGTACTTTAAATGTCTACAGGTGAACAAATGTTAAAGATCTTCTACTTTGTTGTGTGACAGTAATAAGACAAAAGTATCAAAGTAAAAACCAAACTTCAGCTGACTGTACACAGTGATACTGATGTGCTAGGAAATGGCAAACATACTTACAAACACAAATGTCAAGAAAGACAATGGGGCTGACTCACAAATAGCACCAATGGTGAGACCAGACACGTCATGGGCAAACAAACACTGAAGATTAACAGCTGCTGGCATGTCCTTATAAAAACAATCGTATCAAAGCCAGTTCTGAATGTCGAATAAGGACTATATTTTACACCTTTTACCATGGGCCTAGATACAGTCATGCGTTCAATGACCACCTGCATTGACAGATGTATAAAAATTTCATTTTCTTAATAATCTGTTAAGGCAGTAATATTTTAACATTAGTTATATATACATAAAATTAAAGAATTGTGGAATACATCAGGACGTTTTTTGAGACAGCTACAGCATCAAATGAAACGGACCCAGTATGATAGACTAAACACTGTAATCTACACAGGGTAGGGGGGGTAAATGTTCAACATTTCTAACATGTAAAGAACACTATTTCACATGTAGGAATATCAGACTGTGATTCTCCTTCAAAACATGATCTGAATGTTTCCGTCAATGGAAAGCATGAAGAGTACATTAAATGTGCAAAGTCACCTGTCAAGCACACTGAAACAGCAGTGTTCTATTTGCTTCATCTATGGAAACGGTGCCCAGACTAAAATACGCTGAAACCTATGTAGATTACAGTTTATACTTTTGCTTTTTACAAATTTGTTTCTGACAATTTTCCTTTGCCATCTTTAAAAATAAAAATAAAAAACGAAGAACAAAACAAGCATATCAATGGCCACGACTGATATTGACTGTCCCTTACATCTTTTTTTTTTGTCTAGTTTTTGTCATCCTTCTTCTCTTCCTCTTCAGTGGGGTATGAATGCCAGGTGAGGCGCTCCTCGTAAAAGGAGATGACCACTTGTGGACACTTTACATTCGCCTCCTTGGCTGGTACTAGATCAGCTTCATCAGAGTTTTTCCTGTAATACAAAAATACAAAAGAAGACATTTACAATTGATCAGCTATTTCTCATCCGAGATGGATTTCTTGAGTAGAGAAAACTGAGGGCAATTGTAACATTTACATTTCCATGTTGTCATTCACAGACAACTCAATATATACCAGCCATCTTTTGGTATATGTGCCAAAATAACAGTTCCATTAAGTCTAATATTATTATAATGTAAACATCATAATATAAAAATTCCATGGAGGTGATTGCAAGGGTATGACTACATTTCAAGCATGTGAAGTTGATTTGGATCTGGCAATGAAGTTTGGCAACAGGATATAATTTCATCTGTTTATAATAGACAAAATCATTCAAAAGCAAGTTTGTGTTCTTAGTATTGAGCCAAGAAATCAATCTGTGATGTTTGGTCCAATGTCTTTTTTGCTGTATGAATGTGCAGGTCAGAGTTCACCGAACTTGAACTTTAGTATCCAGAATGAAGATGAAGCTTGCATTTCAACTCTCTCGCGTTCACATGTGTATGAATGTGAGTGAATGACCACACTTAAATGGGATAGTTCACATTAACAATGAAAATTCTGTCAATTTACTCAGCCTCATGTCATTCCAAACCTGTATGATTTTCTTTTTTCTGCAGGAACACAAAAAAATATATTCCGAAAATGGTCTCACTGTCTCACAAAAACCCCTTTTGTGTTCCACAGAACATGAAGGTGAGTAAATGATGAAATACCCCTTTAACAGTGAGTGGGGGCAATTGTAATACTTAAAGTAAAAATAAACCATTTTACAGAAATCTAGCAAAAATATAGCAAATAGTAATGGCAAGGTCATGAGTTCCATTCCTATGGAATGCATAAACTTGTATACCGCATAAACCATGTATACCTTAAATACACTGACTGTTCGCTTGCTTGTTTCAGATAAAAGCATCTGCCAAACCTTCATCTAAAACTAGACACACTACCGTTCAAAAGGTTGGGGTCGGTAAGAATTTTTTATGTTTCTAAAAGAAGTCTCTTATGCACTCCAAGGCAGCATTTATTTGATCAAAAATACACATAAAAAACAGCAACATTATGAAATATTATTACATTTTCTGTTTTATAAATATATACATATTTTCAATTTTATGTTTTCTATTTGAATTTCTATTCTATTTTAACATGTTTATCATATAATTTATTCTTTTTAGCATGTCATTTTTTTTCTGTGATGCAAAGCTGAATTTTCAACAGTCATTACGCCAGCGTTCAGTGTCACATGATTTAATATGCTGATTTGGTGCTCAAGAAACATTTCTTATTATTATCAATATTAAAACCGTTGCGCTGCTTAACAGTTTTGTGGAAACTGTGAAACATTTTTAGGACGTTTTGAAGAACTGCATTTATTTAAAACAGTAATCTTTTGTAACATTATAAATGTCTTTACTGTCATTTAATTAATCCTTGCTGAATAAAAGTATTAATTTCTTTCAACAAAAATAAGCCAATGTTACTGACCCCAAACTTTTGAACGATAGTAAAGTAACATTTCTTACACATTTTAAATATTCACGCTAGTGTTACAAATATCCCCGAAATGTTAACATTTTTCATTCTCGTTAACTTTTAACCAGTTGACAGATATAGTTTCAATTTGAAGGCATCAAAACTTTAAATAGCAAAAGAAAAAAAAAAAGTGATACAATCAAGCTTCTTTTCCTCATGCAGAGCATATGCTAAATAGATGCGCTTTGAAGAAATTTCGAGTGTTACAGGTGCCCCCAGTCTCTCCTAATGCTGCTCAGGAACTGTCGCTCTATTCAATTTCCATACAAACCATTTCATGAGGAACATGAGTTCTCCACTTGAGTCTGTAGCACCAATAATCCTCTCAGGATCCAAACCACGTGCAAAACCTCTGAGTTTCTCAGGCTAAATTAAGAGAGATGGCATGTAAGACACTGTTTAGCCCATTCAATTTTTTGTTGGTTTTCTAATGTTTTAAAGACACTTCCTGACCAGCTTATAGACATGGAATGATGTAGACATCTCAGATCCTCAGATCTTCATGGCTCTTACCTCATCCTTGCGCTTTTTAGTCTCCTTTCCATCTCCGTCTGACTCTGCCCGCCTCTTGCCTCCAGATTCAGCCGTTTTCTGTGACTGAAGGAATTCTGCTATGAGGTCAGGACAGTCTAGGTTTTCCTCTGGTTCCCAGGTGTTGTCCACGCTGAGGGAAAAAATTATGAAATAAACACCAGGATTTTCAACACAAAATCAGATTCACAGGAAATCCAATTGCGGCGGCTCACTCAGTAAAGCCTTTCCACTTGAGGAGATACTCCACTCTTCCCTTCACCACGCGCCGATCCAGAACCTTCTCCACAACATACTCCTCTTCTTCTTCCTCCACCACTTCTTCCACTTTCTTTTTGTTTTGTTTCTTCCCTGCTGGTGATTGCTTGGTTTCAGACTGAGAAACTGGAGCTGGAGCTGGATACATGAATGGTGGGTGAAAAATACATAAACATACAAGTTGACCTAAATCATTTACCACAGTTTATGTCAAAATACCACAGTTACTACAGATGTTGTTTCCACAACAAAATAGTGGTAACTTGATACCGGCAACTACTGCCATGAAAAATTTAAAGGGACAGTTCACTCAAAAACAAAACTTCAGCCATTTATACACAAAATGTGATGATGTGCAGAACGTTAGAGGCTGAAAGATTTACTGCATCATTTCCTTTCATTTAACATACAATAAAAATGATCAAGGCTGTCATTCTCCTTAACAACTAATTTTGTGTTCCACAGAAGAACGTAAGCCATACAGTTTTCAAACAGCATGAGGGTGAATAAGTAATGGGCAGTGCTGGGTAGTAACTGATTATATGTAATCTGGATTACATAATCAGAATTGCAATTAGATTCATTAAGCTTTAAAAATCTTATAATCAGATTACCAATTACTTTTTTTATAGATTACATGATCACATTTTATTCACACATCACCTTGGCTTAAAATATTTAAATAGTTCCCCAGGGATTTAAAAATTAATATTTGAATAATTTAACAACACATTTGCATGTTCACAGTTCTCTGATGTTGGTTAATGGTCACACCAACATGCAGGTAACCAAATATAAAAATATTACTATTTTTACTATTAAGTGCCGTTTTTATTTTTAAAGCATTTATTTATTTATTTTATTTTTTTTAAGTTTACATTTATATTATTTAATTAATTATTATTAGCTCACAAATCCCAGTTTGGGAAACAATTATTTTTAAATGCACTTTATGTTGTTAATAATAAAGAATTGGAATATATATTTTTTTTCTTTTTCAACATGGTACAAAATAATCCTATTCAAATCCATGTGATAAACAAGATAGGTCAAAAGTAGTAAGGCTACATTACCTAAAATCTGTAATCTAACCGAATACGTTACTAACTACAACGTCCGGTCATTTGTAACGTGTAACGAATTACAATTTGTAAGAATCTACCCAGCACTGATAACGAAGGTGTACTATCCCTTTAAGCACAATGATTATAAACGCGTCTTATATACTCAGATGAAATGTCATATCAATTTATTATGCTTTTAGCAAATATCTGTAACTATGGTATTTTGACGAATTTGGTTTGTTTCCATTGTAAACTAATAAAAAATCCAAACCTTCAGTCACAGCAGCATCGGCTGAAGGCTCTGACGTTTGGCTCATATTTCCAAGGGCTCTTAACAGCTGGAAATATATAGAGAGGTCCTTATAAATACGGATAAAACAAATAAAAATATTTTCTATGAGAATACAGCCTATCGATCACAAATATTACGTAAGCACACTACGCTCATCATTTCATCTGGACGTGTGTTGGTTTACCTAAGGGATGCAGCTGTACACATCTGCATGCATAATATGACAAACACTGGGACCGTCTGTTATGCATTTGCGACTGCAGGCCAGCGCGCGCGACAACACCCATTGTGAATAAATACATTGCATGCTTCACTGCTGTGCTCGATTGGATGGATAGGCCATTGTTTTACTGTATTTTTTGTTCCTCCATGTTGTTTTAGAGTGCGCAAGCATGCTATTCGAAGCATGCTGTGGTCCAAACATTTTGCATCTTTGCCGCAGCACGTTTGATCGCTGCGATTTTACCACAACAAACACTATGTGTATTAGCCCGAACAACGGCGGCACGGCGAAACAAACGCACTTACTTGTATCTCGCTGAGATAACGATGAAATAAAGCTGATCTGCATGCATTTAAATCCGAAATGAATAGGTTGCAGTGATTAATTACAGACGTCTACTGCGATGCTGCTGAATGTGGCTGTTATTCACGCCTACTTCCGTATTAGAAAAGGAGACATATGGTGACTTCCGGTGTAATCTCCAATGTATCTCCATAGTTTCTTTAACCATAAAAGTGGATTTGCTTTATTATATCTTTTGGAGGATGGAATTATGGCTAGTATTGAACAATACTAGCCGTACAGCCTAATATCTACTACTTTCTCCATTGAAATTCTCCTCTCCTCTTATTCCTTTCTCTCCCATGTTGCTTCAGCGAAGCAGATGTTTGAGGCATCTAGCTGAGATGCAGCATCTGTGCAGCGTTTGCAGATATTCTAGCTTCCTTTCATGCATTTCAGAAGTGAATTTGTGAAAATGTGGGCTTCACACTTAAAACAGCCTTACTCTACCATTTACACGTGCTGCATAAAAGCCATACTAAAATATGCGGCTCTGATGCTGCTTTGCTTCTGTGTGAATGATGCAGTACTCGTTGTCAATATCATGGGATATCCATAATTTCTGTATGTATGCCTAAATACACTTTTACATGGTAGCCATATATATTTAGCTTCTGTGTAGTCTTTGTAGATATAAGATATGTCATAAGCAAATAAATAAATATGTCCAGGCCATGGGTCTACTGGTTTACTCTTTTAATCAAAAATAAAGGGGGAAAAACGTTTTTATTGGCAAACTATAAAGAGACGATGTTATGTAGGCTGTTTCAAGCCCATAGAAGTGAGTGTGGTGCCCATGGAAACGACGGTCAAGTCAGCGTAGTGACAGAACAACCAATGAGAGAATAAAAAGCACACCCTTAGAAAGGACCCAATCTGTCCATCCCTTCAGAAGATTGGCTTTGCACTTTGATTGGTATATATTGCCGCTGTTTATGTCCATTATTTTTCAATTCAATTCCTAATATTTAATTTATTATTTAATTTAGTATGTTTCCTCCAGCTGTTGCTGATTTTATATTAGTTGTTTAGCAATAGTGCTGTTCGGTTTGTTTGCATTTTCAATCTGTGGGTTCCCATGGAGATTGTATATCTACATTTCATGTTTATGAAACTTTCTAATCTAACCAGTACAAAATGCCATAGTAATGAACAATTATGATTCAAGTTACAGCACTTTTATTAACTGAATATAAACAAAGCAAACACACCCAATGTGCATCTTCATTCAGCATTTTCTAAGTATAGAGTTAAACAAAATCTTGTTGAGTCTTATGTAGGAAAGGTTGCATCACCATCTTGCTTTGACCAAAGCGATTTGAAAGCACCTGGCATCGTAATTATGACTTAGCAACTCATAAATATGAACTTCCAAGGAGGACTTTAATGCACCATATGTAGTATTCATCTGGTCATGGGATCTCAGCATGTTGGACCCCATCAGGCAACCCACTCACTTTATGTAAAATAAAACAGCTTTTATTAGTCTACTTTTATGATTGGAGTCTGATTACATTTTTTTAAATTACTATTCATTTTTGTTATATGTAAAACCATTTTGTTTTATATCTGTTGCCACATCTTGAAGCAGAAGAGGGGTAAGCGCGGAGGTATCCGGGCTAGGCTAGCGGCTAACCCACACAAGCCAGCTATACCCACCATCGTACTGGCTAACGTACGCTCTTTGGACAATAAACTGGACTACATCCGACTACTACGCTCAACTCAGAGGACTGTAAGAGACTGCTGTGTTTTTGTGTTCACGGAAACATGGCTCAACAACAGAGTTCCGGACTGCGCTATTCATCTCGATCAGCTGACATGCTATCGAGCGGACAGAGCTCGCGTCGAGGGAGGTAAGACCCGCGGCGGAGGGCTTTGTGTTTACATCAATGACGTGTGGTGCCGCGATGCTGTTGTGGTCTGCAAACACTGCTCACCCCTGGTGGAGTTTATGATTATTAAGTGCCGGCCGTTCTATCTACCGAGGGAATATACAGCCATAATGCTCGTTGCTGTATACATCCCTCCCAGCTCCAACAACAGCAACAGGAGCGAGGCACTAAATGAACTGTACCAGCACATCAGTGAGCAGCAGACAGCCCACCCTGATGCTTTTCTCATCTTGGCTGGGGATTTCAACCACGCAGACTTAAAGAGTGTGTTCCCAAAAATACACCAACACAGACTTTCCAACACGGGGAAACAACACTCTGGACTTTGTTTACACCACACAGAGAGGAGCTTACAAGGCCCTCCCCCTCCCTGGTGCCTCAGACCACATCACTGTCATGCTAATAGACCACTTGTTAAAGTCACCAAACCTGTTCACAAACAGATACAAGTGTGGCCGGAAGGGTCGTCAGAGGCTCTTCAAGACTGTTTTAACACCACTGACTGGAATATTTTCAAG